TCTTCACTGCTGTAAAATGTACTTTGATGGACCTATGGGAAGGGTATGAAGTATGATGATATTTGTATTGCATATTAATGAGCACCAAAGAGTGTCCACCACAGAAGAAGCCAAAACACAATCAGGTAGACAGAGTAATGCAGAAAGTTGATATCAACTGGCTTTTGAGCCTTAGCTGGCTCAAAAGGCTCATGAAAAGAATAGTCATAGTGGTAGGGATGGAGGCTAGGAATAAGCTTAAAACATGGGTTATCATCTGTAAAGGTGGATGTATCTCCTGCCGCTACTGAATATCTAACCTGGCAGCAACAGAGACCGACTCTTGGCTCTTGGTGAAGCACTATCCTTTAAGAATGCCAGTTACTCCTTTGGTAGCAGGTTGGTTACATTAGACCTTTTTTACCCTGAAAGTGACAGTGCATCGTTTTGACTGAATTTGGCATGTATTCTGGGTGTGGATTTTTCGGCTGACCTCAGCCACAGCAGCCCTCTCCAAAGGCTTTTAGAATGTTTTGTTCTTAACACATCGTCCTACCTAGCCACCCACGGGACAGAAGCACATTTTACAGTGGTGAAGATGTGGCAGTGGGCACAGTGCCCTGGGCTTCCCTGGTCATATCATATCCACACCACCTGAAAATGCCGACACACTAGCATGATGGAACGGCCTTTGGAGGGGGCAGCTGAGTCTTGGAGAGATAATATCTGGTAAGGAGAGAGTGCTATCTTCCTAGATGCAGTATACGTCCTAAATCAATGACCATTATGATGTGGTCCAGTTTTTTGTTCTGTAGAGTATGTAGGTTCAAGAACCAAGGAGTGACCCCACTTACTATCGTCATGTTCAGTGACCCACTTGGGAAATCTATGCTTCCCTTCCTGCAACTCTGGGCTCTGCCAATTTAGGAGTCCTAGTTCTCAGAAGGGGAAAAAGCTTCTATTAAGTGGCACAGCAAAAGTCCCATTAATCTTTAAGCCATGGCTGCTACTCAGTTACTGCAGGCTTCCTGTGTTAGGAGACAGTAGATGAGAGGAGTCACCATCCTGGCGGAAGTAACTGGCCCGTGTGATCAGCTGGGAGTAGGAGGGTAGGACTGTTATGCAGCAAGGCAGTAAAGAATACGTTTGATACCCAGTTATCCACTCAGTCATTTCTTGGTATTCTCTTGTCTAATTTTGGTGGTAAACAGTCAAGTGCATCAGTAATGGCTTGAGAAGGGCACAGTGACCAAGGGTTCAAAATCCTCAGTGATAGAGGTCTGGTAACCTGACTAGGTAAGCTACTTAATCTAACAGATGTACTAGACTAGAACGAGAGCAATCTAGAATGGTAATAGTAGAAGGAGATGATGAATATCATCCCACCACAGTTCCTTTTGAAAGTTTTCCCAGGAAAGGTGACTAACGGAAATCCTGGAGTAGCTTTTCTCAGACAGTGTTATCATACCTAGCAAGTGGATCTGAGTGGATGCTGTAATGCATCAGCCAATCCCTTCCTCAGGACTGAAGCAGTCTTTCCTCCAGCTGCTGAGAGTTTTAGCAGCTAATGGCTATCAGCTAAATCCTTCTCTAGAAATTGCCCTAAACCAAACATTCCCCTAAACCCAAGGTCATGCCCCCTGGTGGGGAACAGCACACATGCAAGGACTGGTTGATGGGGGAGGGGTGGGCGTATAAAAGCTTAGCTCCCTTGTCTTAGGGCAGGACAGCTCTGAGGGGACATCACAGCTCCAGAACTTCTCTAGAGCTATTGAGACCTTTGTTGCAACCGCACGGTAGTTCAACTCTCTTCCTCACGTGTTGATCTAGAAGGTACTTCCCAACGCACTTCCTGCACGCATGTCTCTGTCTTAGAGCCTCTTTTCCAAGAAACCTCACTTAAGGCAAATACACACATTCAGTATACATTCCGTAATAAATAGAACATATATTAAACATATATTTTAAGTGATATATACATGACATATATATTACTTAAATACATTAAATATATTCTTTAGTCGTGCCATTATTTGACTTGTTTAAAAGAAATCTTGTTTTTGGCATGTTTGTTTTTAAATCTAAAAAATTATCATTTAAGAGTTTTATGAAATAGAAATTCCTAAACATGGGAGAATCCAACAGATAATTCTGCCAATACAATGTTCAGTAAGCCATTGCCCCGGGATTAGACTCTCGGAAGGCCAGGGACCCGAAACTCATCTAGATCAGGGAAGAGCCTGTTAAACGGTTGTTCAGTGTTGGCTATTCCTGACTGAGCCTGTGGACACTATTACCTAACAGCAGAGCCAGGGACACGTCAATAAATGGATGTGGGAAAGTACGATATTATTAACTATTTGGAACCCAGGGAGAGTCACCGTTGTTACACTGTTTACCGTTCAATTCTGTTCCGTTCCTATGTTTTTTACAACATGACACAGCTCATATCTTCTAAAATGAGACTATGACTACAAGAAATTATGTTTTGTACAAGAAAAGAAATTAATTGTTCACAATTGGCTTCCAGTACCTCTTTTCAAGTCACTAAGGCTGCATTCAGCTTATCAGTCTCCTGTAGGAACTGACTTCTGTGTTAAAGACTATTCACCAAATAAGCAAATATTTGATGGATTTCGAAGACCTTTAAACGTTTCATGATAATGATGTCAGTATCCCTATGTTCTCCAACTTATGAAACCAGACAGCATACATCCCTGCACAGCTAACAGAGTGAACTTAAACTAAAACTTCCTTAAACTTTACCAAAAAGCAGCAGTTGTTCTGCAAATTTACACTACTAAAATTAGAGGCCTTTGAGGTAGCTGTGAAAAGATTCTAATGTTGGAAAAAAAAACTCAGAATGTTGCAAAACTAGAAATCTAAGTAGAGCTGTCAAGCAAGTCACATTCGAAAAAAACCTTTTAGAACTGGGGAGATTTGCAATTCTGTCGTTTACTTTGATTCCTTAGGGCAGCCATTACTTCACTACTTTTGCTGGCTTTTATCATTTTATTACATGGCAGAAAGCATTTTTTTCTAAGGAACAATGTCTTAAATATTCACAGTGGCATATGCTCACACACCTCACTCTTCTTATGTTTATAAATATTGTAGCTTCTTTGTGGGCTTCACATAAAAATATTTGTCATGTAGAAGGGCCGGCCCCATGACATAGCGGTTAAGTGCGTGCGCTCCGCTGCTGGCGGCCCGGGTTCGGATCCTGGGCAGGCACCGCTTGTCAGGCCATGCTGTGGCGGCGTCCCATATAAAGTGGAGGAAGATGGGCACAGATGTTAGCCTAGAGCCAGTCTTCCTCAGCAAAAAGAGGAGGATTGGCATGGATGTTAGCTCAGGGCTGATCTTCCTCACCAAAAAAAAAAAAAATTTGTCATGTAGAAACATTTGAGAGCCTGAACAAATGGGAAAGGGACACTTTACCTGTTTAAAATGAGTTGAGTGTATTATGAATTGGTGAGATAAAGGTAGGAAAACAACATAAAATTAGTAGGAGTCTAAATGAAACCCCAGTAATGATAATGATAATAACAATAATAAAATAATAGTACCAGCTAACTTTTATTGAGCATTTACTACATGCCACAAAGCTTTATGGACTATCCCATTTAATCCTCCAACAGCCCAAATAATATGGTACAATTATTATTCCCATTTTATTGATAAGGAAAGTTAAGATCACAAAAGTTAAGTTACCTTTCAGAGTTATAAAGCTAAGTGGGGTAAATTCATACTTAAATACAGCAAATGTTTGCACCACTCTTAATAAGTATATACTAAATTTATACTAGCACATGGAACTAAGAGCTTGTTGTTTTATTTCTTTCCCATTTTTAATTGAAATATAATTGACATATAACATTATATTAGTTTCAGTGTACAACATAATGATTCAATATTTGTATGTATCGCAAAACGATCACCACAGTAAGTCTAGTTAACATCCATCACCACGCATAGTCACAAATTCTTTTTTTCTTATGATGAGAACTGTCAAGATCTACTCTCTTAGCAACTTTCAAATGTATAATACAGTTGTTTTAAAGCAAGTACACTTCCTAATTTCTTTTTCTCTTAGGAAAAGAACCTGGGATATGATATATCAGGGAATGGCAGTCTATGGCAGATTACGGCCCAGGAGCCAAAGCTGGGTGGGGCACCTGCGTTTGTAAATAAAGTTTCTGGAAACTCGGAGACGTGCGTCGTCCATTCATGTCCCCGTCATCTTTGGCTGCTTTTTACGCTGCAGTGGGAGAGCTGAGCAGTTGAGACAAAGGCTGCATGACCCACAAAGCCCAAGATATTTATAAATTGTTTTTTTCCAGAAAATGTTTGCTAAACCCTTGGTATATATCCCTTCTTTAGGATGCATGTAAAATGGCAAAAATTTAGTTCCAATATTCAGTAACAGAAATATTAATGCCTTTTAATAGTACTTTCTGTTAGCACATTTCAAAGTAGCAAATATGATCTGGGATGTAAATCTGAGATGAAGGAAAAATTTAACCCTGTACAAGATCATAGTTTCTTACTACTAAAGATTATAATAATTTATAAACAATTTTTTGATTGTTTTTAATATATCGGTTATAAGTAATTGGAAAAAGAAGTATGTTAAGGGAAAGAGTCAATTGAACTGCTTGATATTTATTTCTCTGTCATTGTTTTGGCTAGTCTCTTGAATTTGAGGGTTTTGAATTCTGATCTCTCTCATGGAGCTCTGTTTTATGTGGCTGTTGGGAAAGTGTTGGAAATGCGCAAATTCATTTGTACCATCTCAACAAGTAGAGATCTTAAGAAATAATTATTACTCGTCTTTACCGCCTATCATTGGAAATTTCTCTGCAAATGAGTTCAATAAACTCAATGAAAACATGAGTCTAGTGATAAGCAATAAAGTCAATTAGGAAAATGCATCTTTGGTTAGGTTTTATATGTGCAGTAGTACTTTAAAAGCCATGTAGCTCATAACATTGTCACCTGGTTGTTTTTATTTTTTCTAGATTTGGATGATCCAGTAGTAACTGTTCATCAAAGTATAGGTGAAGCTAAAGAACAATTTTACTATGAGAGAACAGTGTTCCTGCGGTGTGTGGCCAATTCCAATCCACCTGTTCGGTACAGCTGGAGACGTGGCCAGGAGGTGTTACTACAAGGATCTGATAAAGGAGTTGAGATTTATGAACCCTTCTTTACCCAGGTAGGAACTAAGGTATAGTATTTCTACCCCAGTCTGCTAAAATACTTTTCCAATTCAGGCAGCATGCAATATTATGTCTATTTGAAAAGATAGTTTCTCAAAACCTGGCATTTTAAAAAACAGCATGTTATTAACTGAAAGATCAGAGGACTCAAAAAATGAAGGACAATTGGTTTATTTTTTATGTGGTAGTTAAATTTAAAATGTTAATTCTTGAAAAAAATTTTAAATTAATGTATCCGAACATATTTCTTTATCTAGAGGTTTACCTAGGTTTCACTATGAAGTACATAATTATACATTTGCTGACTGTTTTTTGTGGAAAATATTTCTTAAAAGAAGAGATTTTGATTTCTCCATTTGCAATGGTAAATAAGTTTTAAAAGAATGAAGAAATCTACTTGAAATTTATTTGGCTTTGGTTTTAGGAAAAAAATCTGTCTAATTTCCTTTGTTCATTTTGGTTTTGACTTAGTTTAAGAATGGAGGCTTAATTATGTAAAAGTTAAAATATCTAAGGAGTCATTAAAAACTTATTTAATAAAAATAAAAACTGAATTAATTTTACCCAGAGTGAATGTAAAATGAAATATTCTTCTGTAATGTATTGAGAGTGGAGAATTAATAATTCTTGACAAAGACATTCAGATTTATAGGAAAATTTGAATGCTGTTATTATAAAGCTTTTTTGATGACTAGAAAGGAGCACAAACCAATTAAACAAAGAAAAGCTTTAAATTAAAAAAATGTATTTGGAAAAATGTTCAAAATAATTGTGCCCATGAATAATAAAAAACCATGAGATAGGCAACAAGATAAACAAGAATTTGACCACATTATAGGCAGTTTTGAGACGTCTGTATATCCTTAACTAGGGAAATATACAACTAAATTTAAAATATTGTAAATATTCTGCTTCAAAATTGTAAAGATTATTACAAGTTTCACATCTCAGCTCTCTAATAACATAAGGTTATCTTCAGTTTGTAAATTTCCCAGAGTCCCATTTTTCACTGGGGAATATATTTCCTTATATAGTTAAACATTTATTTGTAATGTCTAATGCCTGACCACTTTATATTGACGTAATTGTCAATGTTTAGATATTAACTGTGAAAGAATGAAGTGATTATGTAAAAGCATCTGTACGTATCATATATATATATATATATATTTCTATGTATTGTTACTCAATGACATAGAACAGCTGTGACTTGCCAAAATATAAATCTCTAAAAATCATCTTAGCTCATGTCTCACTGTTGAATCCACCATGACGCAGTGTTGAAGCCCTTTTTGATCTGACCCTCTCTTGAATCAGGCCACTATGGCATCAGCTGTTCTCTGCCAGTTGGCAGGATCACGACTTCCTCATATATTCTGCACTATGGTAATTCATTCTTCAATTTTTTACTAAAATCAATTTTTTTTTATTTGAAACAGTTAAACAGTATTTAGGTGCTTGCATTCCTCTAGAGTTTAGAAATTGAGATAAATGATCACCTATCATGTATTTGATTCCTCTATGATCAATGTCTTTTTAAAATATGGACATTGTGAAAATTCAGAAACCATGTTTTTTTTCCTAACACGATAATGTTTACAGACACTGAGGTCATTCTAACCACCTATTCACGACGTGGTTATTTCTCCTTGCAGATGGATCTGCTCACGTACACAATAACACATGGGCCTTGTCCAGATTTTGGAAAACATTTATACTTTCAAAATAATTAGGAATTTGTTTTAAAATTATCAAATAAGCACAAACTTTTCATTTGTTCTTCTGAATTTGTTGCTATGTCTATGTTAGCAGTTCTAAAAAATCATCTTATAAGAGCTCTCAAACTAGTAGCTATTAATTTTGCCTTTAACAGTAACTTTTATTTTCTCTTCCTTCTTCTTCTTCCCATACTCTTTTATGAGAAAACAACAACTTTTTAATTTGAACATGTCAGTACTGATTCTTCCTTCTAAATGTATACCAGCCTTTCCAATGCTGCCTAACACAGTCTTCCTCTGCCTCTGGCTGTGCTACTGACTCTGCTATTGGACTATCTGAACTAATTCTCTTAACAAGTATTTAAGAAACAAACAAGCTTTTCTTGCAACTCTGTGTTCTGGATTCACCTGCAGTCGTTGATAATTGCCAATAACAGGCAGTAATAGCTCCTATTTAAAAATGTCTTTCCTGCCTTTGGTTACTTGGTGATGTTGCTTCTCTCTCCTTCTGAAATGGCTATGTATTTGAATCTGTCCTAAAAGTCATGTAGGAGCAAAAATACTTTAATGTTATATATGTACTTAATTTGTTAATATTAAGCATATTTTGTAGGCCAAACTGATAGAAACTCTCCAACAGCAGCACGTGGAAAGTTTAATTCTTAAGGCCACAGAGAATATTGGCTTTTTCATAGATGAGAAAACAGTGGTTTTTCTTCATAGCACACATGTTGATATACTGCACATGGGCCTGCCATACACGAGTCCAGCCACTTCACACGACTTCTATTCTCTCTCTGTAGAACAGAGCATGGCTGTCATGCTTTATTACAGAAAACTCCAAACATATGAGTGATCATTTGAAAACATAAATCTTTTTCCTGCTTTAATCTCTCCAGTGACTTCAATGTACTGTAACCTGCAAGACCATGTGTGACCTTGATCTGATTAGTTCTCTCTCATCTAGTCTTCTATACCTCATTTACTGTTCTGGTCACACCATCCCTCGACCACTGTTCTGGTCACACCGTCCCTCGACCACTGTTCTGGTCACACTGTCCATCGCCCACGGTTCTGGCCACACTGTCCCTAGACCACTGCTGTGGTCACACCGTCCCTAGACCATTGTTCTGGTCACACCATCCATAGACCACCGTTCTTGTCACACCATCCCTAGACCACCGTTCTGGTCACACTGTCCCTCGACCACCATTCTGGTCACACCGTCCATAGACCACTGTTCTGGCCACACCATCCATAGACCACTGTTCTGGTCACACCTTCCCTAGACCGCTGTTCTGGTCGCACACTGTCCCTCAACCACCATTCTGGTCACACCTTCCCTAGACCACCCTTCTGGTCACACAGTCCATAGACTGCTGTTCTGGCCACACTGTCCCTAGACCACTGTTTTGGTCACACCGTCCATAGACCACTGTTCTGACCACACCATCCATAGACCACTGTTCTGACCACATCGTCCCTCGGCCACTGTTCTGGTCACACCGTCCATAGACTGCTGTTCTGGTCACACCATCCCTACACCACTGTTCTGGTCACACCATCCATAGACCACTGTTCTGATCACACTGTCCCTCAACTACTCTTCTGGCCACACCGTCCCTCAACCGCTGTTCTGGTCACACCGTCCATAAACCACTGTTCTGGCCACACCTTCCCTACACCACTGTTCTGGTCACACCATTGATAGACCACCATTCTGGTCACACTGTCCCTAGACCACTGTTCTGGTCACACCGTCCCTAGACCACTGTTCTGGCCACACCATCCCTGACCACTGTTCTGGCCACACCATCCATAGACCACTGCTGTGGTCACACCGTCCATAGACCACTGTTCTGGTCACACCTTCCATAGACCACTGCTGTGGTCACACTGTCTGTAGACGTGCCTAGGTCTGCATGTTGTTGGACACTCCACATAGAATAGTGTTTAGTTGGATGACATGGCAGGGTCTTCCCAACACTGAGGACTCATCACCTCAGAAAGGCCTGCCCTGACAGATCTATCTGAAATCACATCCCTTCCCTTCCACAGTTACTCTTTCCCAACGCCCAGTTTTGTTTTATTTTATTTCTTCAAGGCACTGTAACTGTCGAGTTATCTTGTTTGTGTTTGAATATTAACTCACTAATCATAGAGACTTGTCTTTTCAACAGCTCCAACAGTGCCTGACACACAGAAGATTCTCACTAAATATGTGTTCAGTGTTGAGCCAATACTCCCATGGAGATGTCTTGATTACTGTCTATGGGATGAGTTAAAACTGACTCCAAGCTACTAGTAATTCCTGGATCCCTCCCTGTAACTCTGTCCTTCTTCATCCACTAAAGAAACCTTAGTGAAATGTGAATGAGAATGATGGCATAATTGAATACATTTAATGTATTTAATTTCAAAACTGTTGATGATTTTCTATTATAATTTTTATTGATTTCTAGTCTAATTCCACAGTGTCAGAAAGCATGCTCTGAATAATTTAAATCTTTAGAAATTGAGACTTGCATTATGCTAAGCCTATGGTCCACTTTCATAAATGATCCATGTGCACCCAGAAAATGTGCGTTCCAAAATCGTTGAGTGCCGGTTAGGTCACATTAGTTAGTTGTGTTGTTCAGACCTTCTGTGTATTTTCTGATTTTTGTGTGTGCTGTTCTTAAAGCTGTTGAGAGAGGTTAGTTAATATCTATGGCCATGGCTGTGGATTTGTCTTTTTCTTCTTTATTTATATCAATTTTTGTTTTATATATTTTGAAGATATACCATTAGTACATACAGATTTAGAAGTATTACATCTTCCTGGCAGATTATCATAAAAACATGTTATTCTTTACTTCTAGCACTGCTTCTTACCTTAAAGTCTGTTTCGTCTGTCATTAATTTAACTACACAAGCTTTCTTTTGGTTAGTGTTTTTTTGGAAGGTGGAAGAGTGTTAAATATTCATCTCTTCTTTTACTTTCAAATTTCCTGTGTCTTTATATTTACAACATGTCACTTGTACCCAGTATATAGGTTTTTGTTGTTGTTTTAATCCAGTGGGACAAGGTTAGTTTTTAGTACATTTAATCCAACCGGTATCTATCTGACTATTTTTTTCTATATGATCCACCTGTTTTGTTTTACTTCTCCCTTTATCTGCCTTCCTTTGGATTTATCAAATATTTTTATTTATTCCATTTTCTCCTCTGTTTAACTAAGAGTTTTAAATTATCTTAGTATCATTTTTGGTTACCTTAAAAATTATAGTCTGTATCT